ACAAAAGGTCACATTTTCCTTATGCCTGATCTCTTCTACTGAAGCATGTATTCAGATGACACTTGGATGGATTTGATCTAAAATGGATCATAAGGTTTGGCACAACCACTGTGGAGTCCATGCCAGCTCGAGAGCAAACTGTCATTAAAAGAAAAAGGGGACAAACTAAATACTAAGAAACTCAGAAAATTCGTGTTAATATTTCAATGATTCTACTTTTTACTCAACCTGTTGTCAATAATATATTGGTAATTAAATTTGTTGTATTAAATTGGAAAAGAATGCAAAATAGAAGCATTTTCACTAGTGCTCAGACTTTTGGACACCACGGTATACGCTACACGGTTCTTGATATCACAATTATGATAATTTATTCATTTTACTGTTTGAAATAATTACTCAGTTCGAAAATGTACAGACAAAATGCCCCACGCTACCACGTCAATGTATCCACTAGGTGGCCCCAGAGTTCTGCCAAAAAGAATTATTACTCCGCTTCATTCTTGTGTCACATTAAAATATAAGGTCTCTTTTTAAGATTGACAAAAACACTCATCAGAAGCAGCAGGAAGAATTTCTGTTTGTGTGTTTATTTATATATATATATATATATATATATATATATATATATATATATATATATAAATAATTTGCTTGATGTGGTGGTTACAGAAAAATACTGTAAGATGACAGAAATACACAAAAGTGCCTCATCAGGTAATGCCAATGTGAATAAAGGAAATTATTTGCTTTTATGTGTTAAGACTTTTTAAATACTTGTCTGTCACATGTCTAGTACAATCTTTTTAGCTTTGAATTGTTCAGAGATGGTTTCAAAACACTTCTCTCATGTGATCCCTTCTGTAAAAGTGTTTAATAACCCACCCTTAATGATGGATATAATTCAGCTCATCAGTTAGCCTCAGACGCTAATAGATAACTAAGAAAGTGTGCGATTATTCTATTTGAGTTTATGTTTTATGATGGCTTATTTGCAAGATGAAACCTCTTTACAGGTTTTTATGTGTGTGTGTGTGTGTGTGTGTGTGTGTGTGTGTGTGTGTGTGTGTGTGTGTGTGTGTGTGTGTGTGTGTGATTCAAAGTGCCTTCATCATAGTGATGAAAGCTAAATGCTGATGAAAGCACATTGTCTGACTCTGCCTAGTCCTACTGGTGGCTACATAAAACGCACACACACACACACACACACACACACACACACACACACACACACATCATTCCCTGACTTTCTTTAGCTTTCCATCTGATGACTGCTAGCTTATTTTAGACCCAATAAAGTCCTTACGTCTTCACTGTATAGCCTGGTAAACACATACACACACACACACACACACACACACACACACACACACACAAAGGTAGACAGACAAACTAGCCTGTTCTCAATTAAGAAAAAGAAATTAGCATTGAAATAAATAGATTTTTTTGCTTTGCCAGGATTCCCCTGTGTGCTCGGATGCCATGGTGCACACACAAACAAATGAGTGTGGCGCATAACAAATGCACAGTAATCAGCCTGTGTGCCTCTGCTTCGCTCAGATATTAACAACGTGATATTTAAATTAGTCTCACAGCATGTGACTCCACCGATATGAGGCTCGAGCCTACAGTTACTTTCCAAATCAATACACTCCAACTAATAGATTCTCAGGGGGAGCTCTGTATAGCTACACTAATTAGCCATTTTATAGGCGCATGTACCACATAGGTCACTTTGTAGATCTTTACAAGTGTACAATTACTTGCTGTACCTGCTCTGTTCCTATGTACAGGTTATCAGCTCTCCTCTACCATGTACATCATTGAAACAGGATGACCGCTGACTAGATATTATTTAGGTGATGGATTATTCTCAGTGATTTTGTGCATGGTGCTGCTGTGAGTGTATCAGGTGTAGCAGTATTACTGGTTTTTAAACTTGTAGGTGGCCAGTTAAAGGATAGGGCTCTTCTTTTTTATGTGTTAATCATTCTCTACCCTTCATCAATTCGATGTTTTCTACATCAGCACCTTTGCTGGACAGATATTTCTGTTAACTGTTTCTCAAGCCTGACGTAACACTGAAGAGTTTACAAACCACAGAAACACTCATGCATCTGATCCGCTTCTCCGTCAATGTCACTGCTGCACTGAGAATGATACACCACCCAAATAAGATCATGTCAGTGCTGATCCTGTGGATCTTTCCTGTGATGAATAGGGCGAAATTGTGCAAACCTGACTAGAATAGAATAGAATAGAATAGAATAGAATAGAATAGAATAGAATACTTTAATGGTCCCCAAGGGGAAATTTGGTGTCACAACAGCCACAACACAAGAGCAACAAGGAAGACTAAGACTTAACAGTTCACAAGACTTTAAGTGTGCACAATAAACTTACAATATACCACAAATAAGAAGGAATAAATATATACATCTAAATAGCTTCCCAGGTTATACACAGTCAAAGATTCCTGTACAGATTAACTGTATGAAATATATTGCAGGTTGGAAGGTTTAAAACTGTACATTAGACATGTGTGATGAGCAGTTGTTGTAGTGTGTGTGTAAAAATGTACAGTAGTCATAAATAAAGTCACAAGTAAGGTGGCTGTGCATGTGTACGAATGTGCAGTGACCGTATGTAAAATGAAGGGAGAGACAGAGAGGAGAGGAGAGACCAGCTTAATGATGATGGGTATCTGAGGTGTATCTGAAGTTAAGAAGGCCGATAAAATTTGTTCACGACTCAAATCACATGTTCCTGAACGATATGCATTTCTTGTAACAGAAATCAAAAGAAGTGCTGTGGGAAGACAATTCATCTGTACGTACGCTTTGACAGATTTATCTATTATCTCAACAACTGCATGTTGGTAAGAGTTACTCAAAGAATCATACCTAAATTAGCTAGAGAATTAGGGTAGCTAGTCAATTTTCTCCACAAATATTAGCCAGCTATGTTAGCTTACTAGATTAGACTATTAGTTTAAAAGTCACTGTCATAGCCAGACTGAATTTTACAAGTGTATTGGAAAGGCATATTGGCATATTGTGCTCTTTGTGTCATATATAAAAGTAGCTTTGGTTATGACCTGTTACATCACAACCTACAATGAATACAAGGAAACATGGAAGCTGGATGAAAGTGCTTGGTTGTGCAGCATGAGCAAATCTCCAGTCCTCTTGTTAGGACTAAAAAGTGTTATACTTCATTACAGCTTTCATATTATTTCAGAGAAAAGGAAGCTTACATTTTGTGCTCATCCTGTGGTACTATATTAAATCGCCAGCAACAATCTAATTATACCAGCAGTGGAAACAAAAATCACTATGTTTATAAATATTCATCTTTAGAGATTACTTATGGAAAGTTACAATGTTATGAATATGGCGCTTTAATTTCCTTTTTTTTTTTTTTTTACTTTATGGTGCTTGCTAGTAGTCCAATACAGGCAGTTCTCTTGCTAGCCATATGACATTCAATACCCCAGCAAATAGTTCTAACGCTATTTACTCAGGTAATGCTTGGCAGCTCCAAAGGCTGACATTTCAACATGCAAACATATTTTAATCAGGTGCCTATGGGATGCATATTAGTGACAACGTTCTGGAAATAATGAAACACTAGCTAAATAGTGTACTGCCATAGTGCACTGGCCACTTTCGTGCAAGTAGTTTGTTCACACTGGGAAATTCAACAAATGTAGTGTACTATTAATTCTTGTATTATATATTATATTTTATACAACAGTTAGTTCCAGTCTACTAATTTGATCGGTCAAGTGGCGTTCCACGAGTGCCCATATTTCCTATAACCACAGTGGGACGTTTCTGTGTGTGTATCACGCTGCTTGTCTGTGTTCAACACTTAAAATTCCACTTACTAGTTCGAAATGGTTACTACAGTCATGTTACCGACATCATCACATGTCATGGCAAATGATATTTTTCAGGAATATACCTTTTGACTTAAAATATGAAATCTCGTCAGATGTAAAGGAAGACATGTAAAGGAAGAAGGGACGCCGATTTTATCGGAAGCACCTTTAACGGGATTGTACAAATCAATGTGAGCTAGCTAGCTAGCCGATGGGGTATAAGTTCTTCGGGATCTACTTCCGCTAGCAGAGCAAAAATAAACCAAACATTAAATATCATTTACTTGAGATTATTTTCTTGTTTATAGAACTGTTGTATAAAAGCAACATCGCACTCACAATTGTGTGGTTATGCTGAATATCGGCGCGGCTGTCATTAGCTACAGCACGAGCCTGCAGGGTGCTACAGCCTAATTTTGCTCATGTGATATTGCTTAAATAGAGCCTGGAGAAGAGGGCCTGGTCTATGTATTGGAAGTGGATGAATCATCAGAAGCTGTTGCACCATGAATTGGCTGAAGCACCAAGTAAGAATGCCATATCACTGAAAACATAAATCACCAGGAACTTTATAGTGCACTATTTTTGGACTTTTACTTAAAACTATAGTTGGGAACTGGTGGATCAATGGTTATGAGTTTGGGCTACTGATTAGAAGGTGTGAGTTCAAATCCTAACACCATCAAGCTGCCATAGTCTTTGAGCAAAAGATGTCATAGGTCTTTGAGCAAAACCTTTAACCCTCAATTGGTCAGTTGTATCCTGTCTCAATTCCAAGTGTCTATGGATAAGAGTGTCAGCCAAGTGAGCAAATAGTGAGGAATATCTAATGAACTCCTAAAAACAACTCCACAATGCACTGTGTTAGTATCCAAAATAGGGTAGTCTAGGTGTTCCCTAGAGTAAATGTTCCCAAATTTTTTGCAGAAATGAAATCTTTCCAGTGCTATTAGTGACATTAGTCAATACATGTTGTTCTTCTTTCGGCTGCTCCCGTTAGGGGTCGCCACAGGGGATCATTGGTCCACATATTTGATTTGGCACAGTTTTTATGCCAGATGCCCTTTCTGACGCAACCCTCCCCAATTTTATCCAGACTTGGGGCTGGCACAGGGAGTTCCCTGGCTGGGAATTGAACCTGGGCCACGGTGATGAGAGTGCTGTGGCCTTCCCACTAGTCCTCCAGGGACCCAGATGTTAGTCAATACATACCATTATTTATTTGCACCATAAATTGGCACTACTGATGAAATTGAGATTAAATACATTTGATTCAAGAGAAGTCAATCCATTTTAGTGTGTATTTGATGGTGATCTTCTGTAAAATTGTGGACCATAGCCTTATAGACAGCACACCCATAATGCCTTTGCCATTTGTAAGATTAGGGAGTCAGGATCATTTCAGAAACAGGGCCAGTTTAAGGTAAAGGAACGCATCTGTGATGAAGAAACTAATTCACAGTTCTTCTAGTGTTTTTACAAAGAAAGAGTGTATGTTCTCTGGGAATTTAACAGAGAAGCATACAGTTTTATAGAGACTCGAATAAGTTTTGTGTGTGCATGCGTGTGTGCATAAGAATAGGAATATTTGACAGTTTTGACTTTGTGGGGACATTCGGCAGGTCCCCATGAGGCTCTTTTACAAAAACTGCAGCTTTTAATTGGAAAAAAAGAAAGAAAGAAACCCTTTGGCTCTTGGTTACGTTAGTAGAAAGTCCTCACAAGGATAGTAAGGCAAATATAAGTGTGTATATAAGTTATATAAAATATAAGAGAGAGAGAGAGAGAGAGAGAAAGAGTGAGAGAGAGAAAGAGTGAGAGAGACAGTGTGTGTGTGTGTGTGTGTGTGTGTGTGTGTCACAGGCTTGAGAAGGGGCTGTTGGGGGGGGGTTGAGACAGGGTTTAAAACGGCGCCGCTTCATGTAAGCGCGTTTACTGATAGAGTGCGCGCTACTGTTAGAGGAGTTTCCGTGCGCTACGGTCCGTCTCGCTCCCGTCTGGATCCCTACCGTGATGCTGACAGCGAGGATGAGGAAGACGCCCTTAACTCCCTTAATTCGTCACCTCTGAGCGGAGTAAAACTGTAGGCTGCTGATCCTGTCCGCGTTTCACGGAGATGATGATAAGGTGTCCCACCCGCAGCTCTCGGCCACGCTACGGATGTCGTCTTGCGCCCCGGTGGCGTCGCTGAGTAGCGGGGAGTCACTGTGCCAGGTCCGGTCACACCGGGAAAGTTGCGCTTGAGAGTGCTTTGTGGGACATGGGAGCACGCCTGGGCCGTGTGGGATACGCTGGTGAAGGATCGGCGTCCTGAGTGGCGAGCTGTTTGTTGGTGTCGGGAGAACCAGGGTGCGTCGCACCGGCGCCATGCGCACCGAGCACAGCTTCGTTTTGCTGCTCCTCAACGGGACGGCGTGCCTGGTGAGCGGGGACAGGGAAGGGGGCGCGTGAGTCCGCCAAGGGGTGCGGGAATTACAGAAGTGCAAATGTGTAGTCTGTGTGGTCTCTCCATGAGTTAGGGTTGGCACATGCGCTGGTGACCAAAAGTGTCCACTCGCTGCGCGATGGTGCATCTGGATGAAGTGTGTCTGAGCCAAGAGAGAATATGACTTCCCTATAGCCTGAAATCCCGAAATTAAATTCCAGTAGGCTACTACTGTTACTATTAAGTCATTACGAATTCGGATTAAACACCTACACCACCAACAAGGTAACTTATTAGCTTTCGAAATCTCAGTTACATGCAAACGCAGTGGCGCATAAAATACTACAGCGTCCAGATTTCCTGATATAGTCACGCGCAGTTGATCTGAATCATCTGTAGAACGTGAAGACAGCAGCAAGCCGTTTTAATCCACTTTCCCCCTGCAGGAAAAACAAGTGACCCTGGATTTTAATTCCCATTAAGGACAACAGAAATCCTTTTCAGTTTAATGGCGACACGCAGGGAGATTGAGCAGGCGCCCCGCTCTGCCCCGCTGTCTCGCAACCCAAAATTAATAAAGATGACAAATCTCCCTGAGTTTAATTACAAAACACCTACGTGCGTCATTAACCGCGGAGCTGAAGCGCTCGAGGGAAACGGAGCCCGGCCACTTTTGCGCATTAAGATAGGCTTATAATCAGCTAGGCAATACCGGCAAAGACACTAATAATGTAATTAGCCTAATTATTACACGGCTTCTGGTCGTTAATTTGCCACGTTATTTAAATTGGAGGAAGAGGCGCGCGCGAGAGACAATGTTCCGCGCCCCCGCGCGCCTCAGCATGGAGGCAAGGGTAATTCTTTCCGCGCAAGGCAGTGATAAATTATAAAGTAATTAATGATTTTTTTCCCATTATACTATAGCGCCGCGATTAACAGACATGCGGAATACATTAATAAATCACCATCGATTTTGTAGAGACTTAAGCGAGCCAATGGACTGCGCCAGAAAGGATTTAAGAGCAATTCTCTGCGCTTTTGCAGAGTTCAGTACATCCCAATAAACCATAACTGCAATAACATATCAACGTTAGAATAGAGCACTAAATCAATCACCGTGCGCTCTCAGAAATAAAGGTACCAAACTGTACTTTTGCTTGTTGCTTAAGTGGTACCATAAAGCGTACATTTTTTGTACCTTCAAAATGTATTTATGCCATTCAAAACAATTCAAAGTACATACCTGGGCTGTAATGACCACTGATGTACCTTTTAGGCTTTCAAAAAGATAATTAAAGGCGTACACCTTCCCAGGTAAAAGATAGTGTACACACTAAAAGTGCCAAATTGTAGAGTACCACGTCAATGACAAGAAAAAGTACACTTTGGTACCATTAATTCAGAGAATGCACTGAACTGGAGATATAAATGCAAAACCAAGCGCTACTCAGAGACAATCCATAGCTATAATTTTCCCAAAATTCATATTGTGCACTGGGTTTAAAGCTTGCTTAGAGTCTCAGAAATAAACACACCAGAAATAAAGCTACTTTTCCTTGTTGCCAGAGTGTTCCCATGAAGTATACATCTTCTGCCTTTAGCATGTATCTTTCACCCAAGAAGGTGCATGTGGTATACCTTTAATTATCTTTTAGAGTAAAGGTACATCTGTGGTTCTTAAGGTCCAACTGTGTAACTTAAATGTTTTAATGGTACACTATATTCATGTTTTTTGGTGAAAAACACATCATAAAGCTACAAAAGAGGAATCCTTGTTCGTGTCAGGCCAGCAACAAGGAAAAGTACAGTTTAGAACCTTTATTTCAGAGAGTGTACTGTTGTCGAAAACCATTTTAAATAGGCTTCCTCCCACTACAGTCCCCTTTTAAACAGTTTAAATAGGTTTTCTATAAAGGCCGCCAGGCAGTCGATTACAAATTGTAGGCAGTTACTGCATTAAATTTGTTTATAGCGGTGTTGCCAGTGCGGCATCTCTCTCATTACCACCTTATTAAATTAATTCAGTTACAAGAGGCAGTGTTACAGGAGCCAGGCGCCGACCTGCTGCAGAGTAATGGGTGAAAATAAACTAACCATGCTACCCAAATTGGACAAGTCTGTGCAGGGCATGTAGGTGTGTGGGTGGGATTGAAAACAAGAGAAAGAGAGAGAGAGCGAGAGATTAAATGAGATCTTCCCTTACAACACAGATCCAGGTCAGCAGGACACATTTGAGTGTAACACATTTCTGTACTGCAATTTTAGTCCAATACGTTCTCAGAAATAATGGCACCAAACGGCATGCTTCCTCGTTGCTGGGGTGATAGAGGGTGCATCTTTTTCTGTACCTTTATTATGTATCTTTTTTCTAAGGAAGGTGCATGGAGTGTACCTACATATAACTACCTACTTATAACAGCCCAATTATGTACATTAAAATCATTTTTAAAATACACTATATTAATATACTATACTCATATGAATGTATAGTTGTAAATGTTGTCCACTTAGGCCTGATGCCTGTTATGTCCACTTACATCCACTGTACAAGTAGGTCCACTGTTTTTTGTAAGCACTGTGGGTATCACTGTAAACTGGCGACAAATTCCTTGTATGTACAAGTATTCTGATTCTAATTCTGATTCAAAAGATCAGTACAACCGCAGCAACAAGGAAAAGTACCATTTAGTATGTTTATTTCTGAGAGCGCATGCTGAGGGGCAGGTGTTTGACTCCAGGTAACCTTGTGCTATAGAGTATGGACTAGTTCATGCACAAAGGATGCAAAGACGTGTATTTTCGTACTCAAACAATCACACAGAACTATTGCATCTCTTATCATAAGTGATTGCTCTGTATATGGACAGACACACACACACACACACACACACACACACACACACACACACACTCACACAGACCACTATACATAAAGTTTAGTATAAAGTGATCAAATACTTCTAAATGGCACACAGCAGACCTGATGTCAGTAAAGTCATAATCTCAGCCGCACTGTACTACCACCTACAGCAACTGTGCTGTGACTCAGCTATTCTTTGAGATCCCAGGTCAGGCTTGTCCTGTCTGTCCAGATCTACCCATCTTTAGGCCTCTATTCTTTACCCTATGCTAGATACACCTCTTGCATGGAGAAAACCATCTTACTCACAAGTGTATGGACTCACACATGAATATATTCACTTTAACTGCTGGCTGCAGGACACACTTGTACTTTTCTTGAAACCCATCTTCAAACACACCTTTCATTTCGAGTATTATAAAAGGAAGTGATTGCACTGATGTGAAAAGAGCTGTGAAAATGTGATGGTATAAAAACAAAGATTGTGAGATAGAAGCACCCCCTCAAAATACATTGTTAAGTCGAAGAAAAACAATCATTATTTGTTGCTTTGTGTGAGAAAGAATGGTTTTACATTATGTAGTCACATCAATCTAATTTTCACATCAATTTAATTTTCAAACATTTCAAATGTCGAGTCAATAATAATATATAAATTAATAATAAAAATGACATTTAAGAAAGCTAGTTTTCCTGACATTTCCTTATAATGCAATTTAACTCTGGATTCCTGCTGTGGTCAAAAAACTATTTAGTGATGTTTTGGTGTGGTGGCTATTAGAAAGTAACCTAAAAAAAAACTTTGCACATCAATAGTAAAGATTCAGAAATACCACAGATTCTGGGAGAAGATACAACACATGATATCGACAAATGTACACAAAGTCAGGTTTAGTAGTTTTAT